TAAGCTACCCAGAGATAGCTCTCGTTCATAAGGGTTCAAAACTAAAACTTAATGTGCCACATGTCCGTGGCTGTTAAACTGTCTATTGCTTGTTTTTGTAAATCCCCACTCATCATACAACCATCAAAACTCAAGATAATATAAACATACCTTGAGAATCGCTGTCCCGCAACATTCTTTTTAAAAGTGGTGGAACACCCCAAACCAACTTACCCATGGGAACAAACCTTAATGGCAGTCGTGAAAATGATAAACCTTGGAATTCTGGAGAAAATAGTCATGAACTCTGTGGGGATGGTCACTATCTTATTTTACACACATGTTAATTAAAGCTATTTTATTTGCTGTAGGATGTCCCCTTACTTCAACTAAACCACAATTACACTATAGTTCCACCACGTAATATGTCTTTTCTTCCCTTTCCTCCTTTTTGTGTATTTCACACGCATTCCCTTTCTTTGCCCCTATTTTTGTTTTTTTTCATAACCATCAACGTCAATGCTTCTTATACATTACATTTGCATATGTTACGCACTTGCCACAATTTGTCTACTACATATATCGGTAAAAAATAAATGGTAAACGTAGTTGGGTGCTATCGACATATGATGTGGCTGAAAAATATAATTACAATACACCTACAGTCGTAATAACAAGCTTATTAAAACAAAAAATATATATAAACGAGGCATAAAAAACTATATGTGCCATTCTCTTTATAAACCTGTATATATAGAATGTTTTCTATCTACTTTATATTTTGTGATTTAATAAATGTTTTGTTAAACCTGTGAATATTGTTTAAAAGTGTTTTTTTGTATCAGGGTGTCACTTCCTAAAATAATGAGTATGGTAGCCAATCTTCACCTCCTCCACTACCCTTTTGGGTATCAAGCAATATGAGGGTCTTTGATAAACTTTGTACCCATGTTTTTATATTTTTAACATTAAGCTAATTTAACAAATTACATTAATAAGGCTCAGAGATTACAGTATAGTTAACGGACTACTCCAAGCACCATAACTACTTATATTTGCCATAATGATTTTAGCATAGAGACCCAGACACTGCACTTTCCCTTAATAAAACTTTTCATTTTTTTCATTATGTTGGCATAAAATAAACCTTTTCTGCAGGATCCAAAGACGTGACTTTAAAGGGCTCAGCTTTTCTTTTTACAGTTAATGTGCCAAAACTCAATTTCTCAGGCAGGTTGGTCTCGCTGAGAATCATAAGAATTACAGTTCACAACACCATGAAGACAATTACCCTCTAACCATATGTTCTCCCTAACCCAAATATCTCTAACCCTAACAGTCTCTAACGTTAAGCACCCCTAACACCAAAACCCACTAACATTACCTCAACTTTAACACCCAATTCTCCAATCTTAATCCTCTCCTTAGTCTTAGTCACTGTATCTTTTTCTGATGAGGTTAATGATGCTGCAGTGATACGATTGTGTCTCCCTATTTAATAGATTAATTTAACTGTGTTTAAAGGACCCCAACTCCCCTTCAACTATATATTTTACCCAGCATACCTGTTTTCTAAAGCTAGTGGATTTAATAAGTAGTGTTAGGAGATGATAGTTCGAGAGTTGTATGTAATGTATTTTATAAATGGAGGTGCACGCTTAGGTTTGGTAACAGACGTGCTAACGTGAAATCTATATTTGCCTTTTGAAATCCAGGATTCTGCCATCACCTCATGGAAACCTAACCCTGTGCGGTTCAGATGTCACTCGGCAGAACGTGTTTATTATTTTCTTGCTCACAAACATCTCTAGATTCTATGTGCTTTGTCCTTTACTCTACCTAGTCACCATTTGGTTGTCACACATCTCGGTCTATTGAGGTATTTCCTCATGAATGCAGAGAGGGTTAGCATAATAAATGGTCTAATACGGAAAGCATAATTCCAATTATACAGTAGTCAGAATTATACAATTTGGATACAGAACGGGAATATTGCTGAAGGATGCATCATTTGTTTTCAAAGAATGAAATCACTGGGAGATCACCTGCTGAGTAAAACAAGGCATCCCTATGGTGGGGACATGAATAATTAATAAGATCATGAGCATGCCAAATGCTTCATTTGAAATAGGAAAACCCATTTTAGCTGGCACCAGACAAGGAATGCATAATACTGATACAAACCTCCTGCCCGAGGCTTCCATTAAACCGTTTGCTCTTAGTGTTTGCAATGAAAACACTCATCCAGCCAAGTTCCCATTGATCTTGGTACACACAAAATTGTCAGGGCCTCTTCCTGGATGCTTTTAGAACTTTACCTATTAAATATTCACCTACTTGTCTTACTGGTATCCCAAAAACATTCATTAAAGGATCTTTAAAAAAGTTATTTATATACGCAGGTGAATGTCCCACCACGTATGAACAAAGGACACCAGAAATTCTTGAAATGCACGAATTTTACAAGGTTAGACCATTAAATTTGCTTTGCAAAGGGGGCATATAGTTTATTTGTTCATACTGCCCATTTACCAACTAGAATACCAGAATTTAGATCATAAATAAATCCTAAATTAGCTTTAGTTACACTCGCATTCTTTCTTTACACTTGCTCTCCACCCTGCAAAGAAATAAACTCTAGGCCAGGCATAGGCAACCTTTGGCACTCCAGATGTTTTAGACTACACCTCACATGATGCTTTGCCAGCACTATGGGTGTTAGAGCATTATGGGGGATGTAGTCCAAAACATCTGGAGTGCCGAAGGTTGCCTATCCCTGCTCTAGGCTATAGTCAGTTCCAATGTCATGTCAAGAGCCTATATGGCTCAAACTGCATAGTGCTGTTCTAAAGCACTCTGACACACGAAGAGTTGTAGAAGGCTTTTGAACTTACATGAAGGCATATTTGATGACTGTAAAAAGAGTCTGCAAAAGAGCTTTGAAATGCAGATGCCTAGTTTTAACCAGGCAACTGTATTTACTATATGTAGCCATTATACATCCCTAAAAGGATTATTGATGTTTAGATCTATCAGTTGGTAGAAACATTTGTGATCTTTCACTTCACTGGAATATTAATATAACCAAACTCTGACATTTATTAATTACCTTTCTGAATTATGGGAAAATCATGAGAGCAATATTTGCAGCTTGTAAAATTAACTTGAGTCATTTGGCTTCATACAATCACATGATGCAGTGTCTAAATTTAATGACTTCCTCGAGATGACTGTCGTCATTTACAACAATCTCCCACCATGTCTAAGGGATGGCAAAAGACAGCGTGAGTTGAACATATCCTTTGGTCGTCTCTATACGTAACCTTACATACACGTAGAAAACAAGGTAAATAATAGTTCATTAAACTATATTACTTTTTTCTTTTGCTCATGGCTCACGGTTATATGCTGCTTGCACCAGGTACTGCATGTTTGTGGTTTAGCATTTGATACACAAAATTTAAGGATGACTGCTTTGTCATTTTGCAATGCATTTCTATATGAATGGTGGATATTTTACATATAAAGTCCTCTGACCATTAATTCAAATAAGGCTACTCCTCACTCCTGGTCATTATACATTAATTGGTAAATAGGTTATTAACTCAACAAATAGCATCAACTTTGCCTTTCAAGGCCTTAGGTGAGACAAATTTATATGGCCACTTATTGTCCTTGTAGGATCCCACACTTGCCACCACGGTGCACATATGCTGACTCTTGCACACAGACACACACAAAGATCAGACCCTTCCCAAAGACGTTATTAACCATTGCCACCTTTTGCAAAATGGGTGCATATTGGGTGGTGGAGGGGTAGGGAGCAAATCCTAGCTTTCTCTTGGTTAGAGGATCCTACAAATGCTTATTCCATTTTATGTATTCAATACTGATTCGCTTAAAGTGAACTCATCATCCACAAATTATGTGGATGAAAAGTTCACATTTAGTTAAATTAGGACATAATCTATGGCCAGGGCAGCGTTACAGAAAGTCACACCATTTCCAAAAGATGCACGTGTTACTCTGCAAAGGAGCATGTGAAAACTATGAAACGTCACCACACCATTATGTGAATGGCCTAGTAGCATAGCATAAGAGGGACAAATACATGTACAGTGAAATAACTTTTCATATATACATTTGTTTATAGAGAACATTTTCTGTTGTATAAAGGGACACAGGCCACCCTGATAATAACAGGTGAACTCTACTTGCTGATAAAACAATAGATTCTTGCTATAGGCTCATTTCTGTATACTGAACAAAGTTAATGTTCATTGTGTACACCGTATGGATTAATGACAAGGAAATGTATGCATATACAATAAAGATCTTTTAATCCCTCCTTCATAATTAACAAGCTCCCAATGACTGCCTTTACTTTTTAACAAATACTTTGTAACGAATTACAGCCTTCCAGAAATTCTAAGTTACTTCGTCCAAATCGATTTTCGGGTCTTCTTAAGCCTTTACAACAGTGGAATGAGATAATCAAAGTACTGGCACTCAGAGGATTAATGTAGATTTCTTATTTCGATAATATATCTTGCTAAACTCACGAATTATGGCAAAGTTTTCAGTGTCAGTTAGAGTATGATCTAATAATGTAACAATTACAGCACAATCAGACAACATAATACAAAGCATGTTATAACCCAGGCCAATGCAATCATTCAGCGTAAACCTTGCACAACATCTGGAAACGGATCATTATATATGTCATTATGATGAATAGATTTGGGCTCTCCCCAGACAGGTAGAGGAAAGAGGATATTTTTTTACTTTATGTATGCCTTCGATAAGACAAAATTACTGAATGGTTTCATTATAAAGAGGAGATTGGAGTTTATTATTATGTTATTGACTTCAGCTAATATGATTAAAGTAATAACTTCCATTTTAAAAACAGAATCTTACAAGAATTGCTTAAGCCTATTCAGTACTGACCATCCAAAATTTGTGTTGCAGTAGAATGTATGAGTGCACAACTAACACAGATGCTAATGGCAATAGAAATGTAAGAACAACAAATTAAAATTAGGTACATGTTCCAAAACATTTTCTTTGTATTTAGTCTTTAATTCCGAGCAGAAATATTAGAGAGGTAGAAATAAGAACTGATTATAGAGTATCCCCTGCAACTGTATATTTTATATCTGGAATTCTAGCTACATGTACACATATTTTAGTATTATTATTATTATCGCCATTTATATAGCGCCAACAGATTCCATAGTGCTTTACAATATTATGAGAGTGGGGATTTAACTATAAATAGGACATTTACAAAAAACTTACGGGAAAAATAAGTTGAAGAGGACCCTGCTCAATAGAGCTTACATTCTATAGGAGGTGGGGTGTAAAACACATTAGGACAGGAATTTGCAGTCAAATAAGGTGGGCAGCCCTTTAGGAGAGGGCAAGAGACAGGTATGTGAGGTAGAGGTTAGTCTTGGAGGCCACAAGCTTTCCTAAAGAGATGGGTTTTAAGGCACTTCTTAAAAGATGCAAGACTAGGGGAGAGACTGATGGCGGTAGGCAGGCTATTCCATAGGAAGGGAGCCGCCCACGAGTCCTGCAAGCGTGAGTTGGCCGTACGGGTGTGCACAACGGTCAGGAGCTGGTCACGGGCAGAGCCGAGAGACCGAGAAGGGACATACCTATGGATCTGTGAAGAGATATATGAGGGGCTAGAGTTGTTCAGTGCTTTATAGGTGTGAATTAATACCTTGAAATGACTCCTATAGCATACAGGAAGCCAATGTAAGGACTGGCAGAGGTGTGAGGTGTGAGAGGACTGACTAGAGAGGAAAATCAGTCTGGCAGCAGCGTTTATTATGGACTGTAGCGGTGCAGTACGACTTTTGGGAAGACCAATCAGGAGAGGGTTACAATAATCCATACGAGAAATTACTAGAGCATGGACAAGCTCCTTGGTAGCATCTGGTGCAAGAAAGGGGCGTTTTTAAGATGGAATCTACAGGATTAGGCAACATGCTGGATGTGAGGCTCAAAGGTGAGGCCAGAATCAAGTATGACGCCAAGACAGCGCGCTTGCAAGGATGGACTGATGTGGGTATCACAAACTTGAAGGGAGAGTGAAAGAGGATGATCAGTATTAGGAGGAGGAAAGACAAGGAGCTCAGTTTTAGACAGATTGAGTTTCAGAAAGCGGGAGGACATCCAGTCAGAGATGGAAGAAAGGCAACCAGTGACACGTTGCAGGACGGCAGGGGAGAGGTCCGGGGAGGAGAGATATAACTGGGTGTCATCAGCGTACAGGTGGTAGTGGAATCCAAAAGAGGTAATAAGTTTGCCAAGAGAGGCAGTATAGAGAGAAAATAGAAGGGGACCAAGGACAGAACCTTGGGGGACTCCAACCGAGACAGGACAAGGGGAGGAGGTATCATTAGAAAAGGAGACACTGAATGAGCGTTGGGAGAGATAAGAGGAAAACAATGAGAGGACAGAGTCACAGAGACCAAGTGATTGAAGAGTTTGAAGAAGGAGAGCATGATCAACGGTGTCAAAGGCTGCAGAGAGGTAAAAAAGAATTAGTATGGAGTAGTAGCCTTTGGATTTAGCTGTGATTAGGTCGTTAGTAACTTTGATAAGCGCAGTCTCAGTAGAGTGGAGAGGGCAGAAACCAGATTGAAGAGGGTCAAGGAGAGAGTTGGAATTGAGGAAATGAGACACGCGGGTAAAGACAAGTCTTTCAAGAAACTTTGAGGAAAAAGGGAGCAGGGATATGGGACGATAGTTAGAGGGGGTGAACGTATCGAGGGATGGTTATTGTATGTGTTTGTATGTCTGTATATATGTGTCTCTGAGTGTATCTGTGTGTCTGTATGTATGTGTGTGTGTTTGTATGTCTGTATGTATGTGTCTGTGTGTATGTGTGTGTCTACATGTATGTGTGTATGTGTATGTATGTGTATTTGAGTGTATGTGTCTCTGTGTGTGTGTCTGTATGTATGGGCCTCTGTGTGTATGTATGTGTTTGTATGTATGTGTCTGTATGTATGTGTGTGTGTGTCTACATGTGTGTGTGTCTGTGTGTGTATCTGTTTGTCTGCATGTGTGGGGGGATGTGTGGGGCGCGGGGACAAATGGGGTGGGGAGTAGATGTTTGGGGCGGGAATGTATGGGGAGGGGGTAGACGTTTGGGGGGTAGACATAATGGCAGAGAACTGAGCAGTGAGATTGCAGAGGCATGATCTATACAGCAAAACTGCTTCATTAAGCTAAAGTTGTTTTGTCCACCATAGAGTCCCTTTAATAATCAGGATGCCATTATCAGAATTTTCTACTATCAGACATATTAATTTATACAGGCTGCCCTTTTATGTTGTCAAACAGCCTGGGTTATCTAAACATGAGGAAAAGTTTTACAAAACGGAGGTTGTTTTGATTTTTGAGCATTTTTCCTTTGGTTCTACAAATGTCTCTGGTAGAAATACATCTCACTCTGTTTTGCTTTGCTTTACTAATGATTTTAGCAAATCTGTACAGAAATTGCACATTGCTGATATTTAATCTGAAACCCAGGCTTTGTGGCAGATAGTAGTTAATCTGTGTTTTGTTTTTTATTATTCTGATTTCGAAAATAGTCATAAAGCAAATTAATTATGTCATTGGTAAAAATTAGTATTTAATACTTTGCAAAAAAGTTGAATCTTAGAACTACTGCCATGATAACTACATAAAAAGTCACAAAATAAGATCAACTCTCCATAAAATTTGCAGCAAAAGATTTTGACTTTCCCTCTTAGTAGCCAATTTGATATAAATTGCTAATAATCTGTAGTGTTTAGGAGAGCATGGGCTGTTAGGGACCCTACATATTGGCATGATGAGTGTAACTCACACCTATTCTTCAAGGTGTTCCATTCTATCCATTTACTATATGAAGAACTCAGAACAGTCCACCCCATTCTCTGCTGTCATCCAACTTTACCACACAGTCACGTGTTGCTCTTACTTCCTATATTGCTCTTTCTCTTACGTTATACCAGGTCCTAAAGATACAAACTAGCCATTTTGCCAGCCAGTTGCACTGCGCATGCGCCGCCCATGCCCTCAAATACACACTGCGCATGCGCAGCCCATGCCCTCCAATACCATACCGCGCATGCGCCGCAACCTCTTCAACGCGCAGTTCTGTGTCTATGCGCGCAGTCACGGCTTAGCTACGTTCTGCGCATGCGCTCCATCCGCAGTATGGTTTGTCGGTGCTAGAGCACGGCGAACCATTTCCGCTTCCGGTCACCGTCCATCACTGTGCTGTTGTTCGGGATTGATAAGCTGCGTGTTACCCGTTTACCTGCACTCCGTGTTATAGGATGACCTCAGATAAGAAGCCGCCGGTAGACTTGGGGCTGCTGGAGGAAGATGACGAGTTTGAGGAGTTCCCAGCTGAGGGTGAGTATGAGTGGGCACTCTGGCTGCCATGACTCAGGGAATCCATACCGGCAGCATGGGCTGTGTGCTGGGCTCCTAGAACCTCACACTCCAACAGGGTCATATCTGTTCAGCCACAGGCTGGGCTTTCACACCCCACCTGATCTGGATCAACTCACATCATTCTGAACCTACCTACAGGAGTGACTGTGTGTGATGTGAGTTGTTGGGTGGTGGGGCGTGATGTGAGTTGTTGACTGTTGGGTGGTGGGGCGTGATGTGGGTTGTTTCTCCAGGACGTTAAGCCATCACTGTATAGTGTGCTAATAAGCTTGTATAGTGGACCAAGGCCTTCAGCCATCCAGGCAGTGATCTGCTTATTGAGCCTCTGTTATAAGCAGTACGTTAGGACCCAAAAAATGGACAGTTGTTTTCATCTTCTGATCTTGCTTAAAGGGACACTCCAGGCACTCAGACCACTTCTGCCCACTGGAGTAGTCTGGGTGCCAACTCTCACCACCCTTAACACTGCAAGTGCAATTATTGCTGTTTTTATAAACTGCAATATTTACATTGGAGGGTTAAGTCCTCCTCTAGTGGCTGTCTACTAGAGAGGCACTAGAGGACACTTCCGTGTTCATAGAATAAGAAAAGTGTGTTATAACGTCGCTGGACGGACCTCCAGCATCGCCGGAATCCCCATAGGAAAGTATTGAAAACATTTTTCAATGCTTTTCTATGGGGAGGTCTAATGCGTGTGTGCGGCATTGCTGTGCATGCACCTTAGGTCCCCCCCTTCGCCGGCCACGCATGCGCAATAGGTCTCCCCCGCCGGCAGACGGCGGGGAAGAGCACAGGCGTAGCTTGACCCAGCGCCGAGGGACATCGGCGCTGGATACAGGTAAGTCACTGAAGGGGTTTTAACCCCTTCAGCAACTTGGGATGGGGGTGGGAGGGAGAGGGGACCTGCAGTGCCAGGAAAACTGTTTGTTTTCTTGGCACTGGAGAGTTCCTTTAATCTCTATAACTGAGGATCCATTGAAGTTATGGTTAAAAGAGGCATTATGTGGGTCCATGGTACACCATTTGTCATATATTAGTTTAAAGGGACACTGTTAGCACCATTAAAATTTCAATGGGTTTGAAATGATTAATGATACCAGGCCTCCAGTTATGGTATGGCAGGGGGGAAGCTATGCTTCCATTGTGCATTATACCAGTTCATATTAATGATGTGAGGGCAATGGTTTCCTGACAGTGCTTTGCTGATGCTCTCAGCTGGTCTATGTCTGCTGCTACTGTATGGCATGAAGATGAGCATAGCTTCGCCATACAGTTATAGGCTGCTGGAGCCGAGGATCTATGCTAAATGCTGAAAGTGATCCGGCACCAGTGCACTCCAAGCAGCATAACCAGAAATCTGTGAAAAAACTCCTCCTAATTTTAGTTTTACTCATATACACAGTGTAGCCTCCTCCAAATCCCTGAAATCGGATGCAAAAGATTCTTCCATACAAGCAGGGCGATTTTTGGAGCCCCGAATGTAATGTTTAGTGATGGATTGAAATAACCACATAACTTTCATGTAGTTTACCTTAAAAGACCATTTTTTTGCTAAAGACAGTTATGTGGTTAGCATGATGAGGGTTACAGTGGTTTTTCTTTTTGTTTTGTGAATCTTTCACTCTTAAAAGACAAAACCTATCTTTAATGATTTTTTTTCCTAATATTTATTGACCGATTTGTAGACATTTTGTATTGTCATTTATTTGATAACTTGGTTGTGCTTCTATTTATATATTATTACAGATTGGACTGGTTCAGAAGAGGATGAGGATGCACACATTTGGGAAGATAATTGGGATGACGACAATGTAGAAGATGATTTTTCAAATCAGTTAAGGTACTTTCTTAAAAAACAGTTTGCCACTTGTAAAATTTCTGGTCTGGAATCTCAAACATATGTGGTGTGAGTACATGCACACCCCAACTTTCTGAGGCAACATTAAGGAGGTGTGCAAAGATTATTAAATTACAAAAGAAATGCAGAAAACTCTGTCTGTATTATGTGCTAGCGGTTTGTCAAATTACAAACTATAGCTTGTGGAAAGAAAACCTGCTTTTCATTGTTTCAACATGCCAAAGTTATTTAAAGTTTTGCGCCACTCCTCTTTTAAACTATTTGACATTGGTCTGGACACTATAAACATCCAGACCACTTTATCTCATTGAAGTGGTCTGGATTCAACGTCCCTGTCTAACACTGCTATGTAAAATATTGCAATTTGTGAGAACCTGCAACAATTACATTGCATGGTTAACTCCACCTCTAGTGGCTTTCTAGTCTTCCTTTTAATCGTTGTATGGTGAGGGAAGGACCTATTAAGTTAGAGACACTTTAGCGTTTGGAATACACGATTCTGTCCCTAATGCTATACTGTTCCTTTAATGAAATTAACTGAATTTTTTTATGTACCGATAATGCATTTAAACAATGATTAAGCAAAAAGCCTCTTAAAAGTTCCTGTAGTTGCTAAAACCAAGCAGTGAACTCTGCCCAGACTAGGGAAAATTAAACTATCTCTGAAGTAACTCACCACTGCGTCTTCAAATTCTTCAGTCTTTTATTTGCCATCTAAACGTAAAACCATAGCGTTGACATGCAGTGAAATCGGCTCATATCTGCGGAACACTATGGTTATCTGTGTCTAGTGTGATCCGCTCTGATATAGTGCAGCAGCCTTCTGCCTCAATTGACAGCTGTCCGTAATAAAAATAACTATGTACAAAAGTATCTTAGACTCAAAAATATAACTGCTGTTATGTTAATGGCATTAACTCTAATTGTAATATACTGATAATGCATTAAAAAAGTATTACAATTAAACAAAAAATACTTTTAAAAGTTCTTGCGACTGCTCCAAATCAAGCACAGAGCTCTGCCAAGATTAGCAAGTGACTCTAAAAGTTGGGATCCTCTCATTCTTGTATATCAAGTCTGAATCAATCTCGTAAACACTTGAGTAACAGGTGTTCATGGAAAATTTACCCCGCATACACTGTTCCATTCATCAGATTCATAACACTGCTGTATAGGTGTCCTGTGGTTACTATTAAAGGGACACTATAGTCACCTGAACAACTTTAGCTTAATAAAGCAGCTTTGGTGTATAGATCATGCCCCTGCAGCCTCACTGCTCAATCCTCTGCCATTTAGGAGTTAAATCCCTTTGTTTATGAACCCTAGTCACACCTCCCTGCATGTGACTTGCACAGCCTTCCATAAACACTTCCTGTAAAGAGAGCCCTATTTAGGCTTTCTTTATTGCAAGTTCTGTTTAATTAAGATTTTCTTATCCCCTGCTATGTTAATAGCTTGCTAGACCCTGCAAGAGCCACCTGTATGTGATTAAAGTTCAATTTAGAGATTGAGATACAATTATTTAGGGTAAATTACATCTGCTTGAAAGTGAAACCATTTTTTTTTTTTTTCATGCAGGCTCTGTCAATCATAGCCTGGGGAGGTGTGGCTAGGGCTGCATAAACAGAAACAAAGTGATTTAAATCCTAAATGACAGTGAATTGAGCAGGGGAATGATCTATACACTAAAACTGCTTTATTTAGCTAAAGTAATTTAGGTGACTATAATGTTCCTTTAATTTATAGCACTGTGAGCTGTCTGTTGTGAATAGAGTTGTACATGGTGGCACATGCATGCAACCATGGCTCAGGCTCTCTTACAGAGCCAGAGCAGGCATGGGAGCTTGCTGTGTAACATCTGTGTATTGTAGCTAACATTAGTGATTTCAAGAGCTCTGCAATATAAGTGTTACTTATTCAAGAGCAGTTTTCTAACTTACAAAAGTTTCTGTCATTTTACAGCAAAATAAGTGTTCTCTGCTATCTTTTATTTGTCCTTTAAAATATGGTACAATATAGTGTTTGTAATTAGGAGGGTTTTTTAATACTGTGTATATGTAATTTTTAATCTGTGTATTTTTATTCTTCGGAAATGTTAAGATTTCAATAGTGCTATTGGAAACCACATGCTTGAGCGAAATGCTTCTTTCATCTAGGAATTGCTGTTCCTTGTAAAAACATTATCCATTTCTGAATAAGCCTAGTTGTGTAATTTCCATCTAGGTCTCATCAGCTGTTTGTGAGTCATATTTAAAACATGGTTTGTGGAACATGGTTATTCACTATACTCAGATTGTTTTGGACATTGTATCCCAATGGGAATATTGGGACACAAATATCTGATCCTGAAAAATTCTACAGTTTTGCCATTTGGATTTAATTTGCTAAAATGTAGAGTTTATTGAATAATCCTGCAAATATCTCATACTTCTCTACAGATAATGATAGATATTCTAGCCCAGCAACAGCTGAAGGGCCAGACTTTAAAGCCTTTTGTTAACATGATGTAATTAATACTTGAAGCTCATAAAGCTTAGGTAAGAAAGTAAAACATAATAATAAATTAGCACTGCTACCCATAAATGTTAATCTCAAAGTATAACAATGACAAGCTGTTCATATATGTATATGTGCTCAAAAATAAATAAAGGGAACACTTAAACAACACAATGTAACTCCAAGTCAATCACACTTCTGTGAAATCAAACTGTCCACTTAGGAAGCAACAATGAGTGACAATCAATTTCACATGCTGTTGTGCAATAGACAACAGGTGGAAATTATAGGCAATTAGCAAGACACCCCAAATAAAGAAGTGGTTTTGAAGGTGGTGACCACAGACCACGTCTCAGTTCCTATGCTTCCTGGCTGATGTTTTGGTCACTTTTGAATGATGGCGGTGCTTTCACTCTAGTGGTAGCATGATACGGAGTCTACAACCCACACAAATGGCTCAGGTAGTGCAGCTCATCCAGGATGGCACATCAATGCGAGCTGTGGGAGGAAGGTTTGCTGTGTCTGTCAGCGTAGTGTACAGAGTATGGAGGCGCTGCCAGGAGACAGGCCAGTACATCAGGAGATGTGGAGGAGGCCATAGGAGGGCAACAACCCAGCAGCAGGACCGCTACCTCCGCCTTTGTGCAAGGAGGAACAGGAGAAGCACTGCCAGAGCCCTGCAAAATGACCTCCAGCAGGCCACAAATGTGCATGTGTCTGCTCAAACTGTCAGAAACAGACTCCATGAGGGTGGTATGAGGGACCGACGTCCACAAGTGGGGTTTGTGCTTACAGCCCAACATCGTGCAGGACGTTTGGCATTTCACAGAGAACACCAAGATTGGCAAATTCGCCACTGGTGCCCTGTGCATCTCACAGATGAAAGCAGGTTCACACTGAGCACATGTGACAGACGTGACAGAATCTGGAGACGCCGTGGAGAACGTTCTACTGCCTGCAACATCCTCCAGCATGACTGGTTTGGCAGTGGGTCAGTAATGGTGTGTGGTGGCATTTCCCTTTATCAAGTCTGAAGCATTTCTGAGTCTCCCCCCCGCCCCCTGCATAGTTTCATTTATTGGCTGAGACTGGTCAGTTGTTGCGTGAATAGTCGAAGGGATTGGTATCTGTTACTACTCCACCAATGTCAGACGATGAGGGGGAAACCTAATGCGCATTAGTCCTTCCCCATTGGAAAGCAGTGAATCAATGCTTTCCTATGGGGTTTTAAAACCACTGGACATCCTACGGGCAGTCTTACATGTTATACATTGCAGGGCTAAGGAAGACGTGGACAATCCACCCAGACCTCTTCAGTGAGATAAATGTGGTCTGGGTGCCAGTAGTGTCCCTTTTTAAAGTTCCAATCTATGCACCTACACCTGTCGGGTGCAATGTGCCTGTTAGTATTTTTAAGTATAAAATTGGTTTGCTTCATGGGCCCAACTTTTCTACACCACCTTCTGATTAGATTCTGTTACTGTCCATCAGCTCAGTGAAACCTTTTATTGTGTCTTTAAAGCACTGCCTAAATGGTTTCTTCAAGCACCATGACCAATTCCATGATTTGAACTGATCCTGGTGTATAGAGTCTATATGAGTAAAAGGTTGCACGTACCAAACTTAAACCCCTTGCTGACAAAGGTATAACTCCACCTGTGACTGCATCATTAGCAAACCTGGAACAAGTGTTCCAGGCAGTGGCATAGTTAACATAAAGTGGACTCTGGTTAAAGTCAATTTAAATTATATTTTTATAAGGGTATCACTGATTAATTCATATATTGATAAGTGTACCCCCACTAAAAGTCTCCAAAGATGTACCATACATTATTATTCAAGTTCTCAACGGTGGCCAAAAGGAATTCCTCAACTATCTTGCCAGTTCCACAATAGTTTGCCAGTTGGGGATCTATCTTTTTCCCACCCATGCATGGTTGTATTTGTGAGCAGTGTTTGTGTCTTGATATTTTTCTATGTAGTGTGTGACTGTAGGAGCGTATTTGTATGTACTGTTGCTATTTGAATGCAGTGGCGTGTTTGTGTGCAGTATTGCCAGGTGTGCATTTGTGTCTAGTTTTGGTGTTTGAATGCAGTGGCGTTTGTGTGTATTGGCACTTAACTGCAGGGGTGTATTTTTGTAAAATGTTTGTGTGTAGTGTTTGCAGGGATGTTTGAATGCTTGGATGTATGAACATATAGACATACAATGCAGCAAACACACACTCTGACACAGGTATACATACATACATACATACTGACTGACACACACACGTCATTTACATACTTTAGGTCATGGGTACTCAAACTCTGGCTCCCCAGATGTTGATGAACTACAACTCCGATGATTCTTTGAATTACATAGTCGGAGAATCATCGGAGTTGTAGTTCAGCAACATCTGGGGGGCCAGAGTTTGAGAACCCATGCTTTAGGTCCTCACTCCCCCTCCCCATTTTCCATAACATTTGGGTGCAGGATGGTGGCTTTGGCTTTTCACGCTCCATACTCCTCTGCCCCCCTGCGTGATACTGTGTAAGCTGGGAGGAAGTGACACCTGACCTTGTTTCTTCCCAACATTGATGATGTGACAGGGGCCTGGCCGCACTGTTAAAGGGCTGCTGTAGCGCCCAAGTGGGCCCTTAATCGGAGACCCCCATCGGATATCTGTGTTAGTTACACCTGAGAGGTCCCCCTAAGCAAGCGGCTCACTGCAGCTGCACAGTTGGTGGCTCGGCTAATGTCAATTCTGTGCATTTCTTTTTCAAGCACAATGTATCATTCATTGGCTGAGAAACATCAGCTGACACTCTCAGCCAATAAATGACAACTGGATCAGCTTCTACAGCTCAGCAGAAGCCTGTCACTGGTGCTGAAAATAGCCTCTGACCCAGGTAAGAGGACAAACCATTACTAAACAGTTTGCCCTAATACCTGGGAATCAGGCCAAGATACTTGTGGCATCATAATCAGCCCCGAATAAGAACAGTAATGCTATAGAACATTTTAGCAAGTCGGGTCACTTCCTGATTTGGTGAAAGCTTGTTGAAAAGCTGCCCATCTTGGGCATTTGCAGCAAATGTAGGATCTTTGAATTGAAAGGGATTTTTTTGTTTTTGTGTGTTGTCTGTTCAATGCAATTAATGAATGAATTAATAGGCCAGCTCTACAAGACAGATAATTTGCTTAATTTATTTTAGTTCTACCAAGCTATTAATGTTTAAATGTAGTATTTCTTTATGATTCATAAAAAAAAACAACCTCTCTCTGTATTGATTACAGCATTTAAAGATATAACTATACATTATCTAATTTCAGTCTGTAGTTTATTTTGTGTGTGTGGTTTGTTTTTGTTTTTTCCCCCCAATAATTTATTTGTAATTTTGTCTTTCAGAGCTGAGCTTGAAAAACATGGATGCAAAATGGAGACATCGTAGTTCAACATTACATGGGAAATAATTAATAATGCTTATTGTTAACATTTTTTCTTTTTTTTAAAAAGATTCTGTACATTGATGCTTTTCAACTGTTGTAGCTATAATAAATTCCTTTATTAAAATGACTAATTTTGTGACTCTACACTTGATTGACTTAATGTTGCATCTGTTCCTGTGTACCCATCTTAAATAATTGACCATTCATTCTTACTTATTATTTATTTATTACTGGTATTCATAAAGCGCCAACAGATTCCGCAGCACTGTACAATATACACAGACAAATACATCCCTGCCCGTAAGCTGATATATAGCCATTGGAGCTCTTTGTACAAAGTGCTTAGCTAGATGGCTCGTGAGCTTACTATCTAAAGGATTCAATGGGGTTTACATCTATAATTTAGAGAAAATAAATACCATGATAAGGGGTCAGAATGTCTCAAGCTCTACGATAGTAGCCAGGCTTAGACATTCAGTCATGAAACATAACCACTTGCAACGGCAGGGCGGCATCTTCCTCAGCCAACCTTCTGCAAAATAGCTTGTACAATATCTAACTTTTAATTGTGTGGTCATAGTTACTATACACCACTGCTTTCCACTTGCCAGGGTTTATACATGTGATTGGATAGTGGGCAAGGGGACTTTTTGAGCCCTGCTACTACCACTAATGTTGTACGAAGTAGCCAAGATTGTTTGCTGGCCTCCTACAGCTAAGTGTAAAATGTAATGTATCTGCAAATTACATGGCTTAGCCCAATGAATTTTGTAGTATAAATCCATTTTCTTCTATTTTTACTGGGGAATCTTAAAATTGAAAGAGAAATCTTCCCATTGGGAATCCGGTTATTTTCTGTGGAATTATTTTTTTTGTTTCCTTTTCTACTCTAGTATGTAAATTAAACGATCACTCTAAGCACAAGCGGTATCAGTAATCCTCCAGATTCTATACATCGATTAGAAAGACCTTCAAATTATAACTCCTGTGGTTATCTGGCCACCTATTGCATTAACCCCTTAAGGACCAAACTTCTGGAATAAAAGGGAATCATGACATGTCACACATGTCATGTGTCCTTAAGGGGTTAAAGGAAGTTATAAGCCATCAATAAATGGGTGGCAGGGTTTCAGATCCCTGGTGTAACTGGGACAGCTTTGCAAAATGTACTGTTTGTAATTGTAAGTCCATCTGTAAAGATTTTAGAAACTACATTGTCAATAATGGTATTGATATTCTTGAAAAGAAATGTAAACTTGTTATAATGGCAGTTGATAGTTTCCAAATTAGTTAATGGTGATTGTCAAAACTATCTTCAGTGGCATACATTTGGTGATGTCCCCTGTTGGTGGACTTAGCATTGTACGTTTCTACTGTTACGTTCATCAACCTCATGGGCCTTCCTTGTCAATTTGTGGTATCCTTCAGAATATGTCATAAAAAGGCTCTCTGCCTAGTGTCTATGATCAGGATCATTCTAAACAACTTGAACTATTTTATTCTACCGTGTGGGTATTAATGGAGATGTTTTTTACCTATACATTGAACCAGAGGATTTTCCTTTACAACCATCCCCAAAATAGTATACTTATTTTGCAGAGAAGTTCTTTATTCTGTTAAATGGATAACCTAGTTATAAAGTGATCCCTTATTCTTTTAAATTTCTTTTATTGATTATGCTTTCAAAATTGCTGAAAAATTTTACTTTTAACCAGTGGGTCTACTTTCTGTTCCAATCAGGGGTATTTTGTGATCTATAGGCACTGGACTTTTTCCATAACTCCCTGTTTAGCAGGAGTTAATTGAATAAGTAATTTAATCTCAGTTCCAGTTATCACATAGAATGTTTTGAAACTATATGCCATGTCTGCTGTCGATTTTTATAAACGCAGCTCATTTGAACGTGGCAGTCAACACCTTATTTTCCTGTACATCCAACTTGCCCTGTTACAAATTATTGGTCCACCTATTGTATAGCTCTGTGGAATTTGTTGGTAGTTAATAAATTATAGTCAGCCCTGTTCAATATTTATTAAATTGGGCTGTGCTTTGCTGCTGTATGCGCCTGTGCAATCTGCAGCCTGGCTGTCTCCAAAGAGCCTTCCTCTATTATGAGTGCAGTGTGTACACAATATTCACAAAACCTAGAAGGCAACCAGGAATTAAGTTTTCCACCTGTTATATGGCAGCGTAATATTTACAAATTACTACCACTTTAAACCACTCTCAGAAATAACCGTGGGCTCAGGGTGCTCTAAGCGACATGCAATTTGCAGTAATGCAAAGTACTTATGGTGCTTAAACCGACTTTCATTTTCTAAACAAAGTTTTATTATTTTGTTGTAGCACTCGTTCCATTATATAGTGAATATGCCTTTTTCTAAAAGTAATAGCCTTGCTTTCTATAATAAGTTTTCTTTTCAGAAAGGAATGTGATTCCATTCTTGATATACTTTTACATTTCTGTTTGCGTTAATATATAAACCTAAAGACCATAATGTATTACCAATGCATAAAAAAGGCCTTTATTAAATGTCCTGATGGGAGATTGTAAAAGGTAAACCCTAAAACGGTATGTCAGTTTTAAATTAGAAGTATCATAGTTCTGGAAGGGGCAGGTTAAGTGTTTCAATATTCAATTGACAAGGAGTGCTAATTTTGAAAGCAGGTAAATTGTGTATGTTATAATATGTTGGAGATGTAATATTGTTCAAGTTGAAGACCATTTGCCTACTATCTTATGTACTCCAACCAAGGTTGCCAGATTTTATTAAAGACACGGAGGCTCCTATTATGCATTCTCTTTCTTTATTATACTCCCAGTAGCAAGAAAAAGGGAAGTATGAGAGAATCATAGAAAAAAGAAACCATAACAATAGCCTGGTAACAGTAGCACCAATCAGCATCCAGTATAATCCATATAGATGTAGTGCTCCTTGACTCCTCTTTCTTGCTGCTCCCTCAGACAAGTTAAGTACCTCATCTTGCTACTCCTGTGATTTTATACATTTATTTGTATTTGCTAATTCCTATACATTATTTGGATGTTCCTTATATTGTACATTGAGGTACATTTATTGTATAGTTCTTGTCAGTTCTTACTGTTTGTGGTATATCCTTCTGGTGTCAGGGGAGTGCTAGTCCTCCCTGCCCACACCTAGGGGTTGTCTTCATCTATTTTCCCTGTTTTTCTGGTGCTTGTGTTGCACCTCAGGTTTATGCCCGCGTTTTTTGGCGCCATCTTTTTGGTTTCCGTCACCGCGAGTGTAACTTTCGCTCGCGGCGACCATTTTAAATGCGATTTCGGCGGGAAACTGATGATGAGCTTCAGCGCATAACGATTTCTCCTACCTGCCTAAGCACTCTCCTAAGACCCAGGCTGAGATATCATTGCTGTTTTTGTGGTTATTGCTGCCAAACTGTAAGTGTGGTGTGGAGGATTAATCTATCCTGACACCCTTTTCTGTTTTTCTCTCTCAATAGTTAGTTCTTCTCCTTTACAGGCTACTAAAATCTGTTTGTACACTTAGGCACCTAGTCAATATTAATAAGGCTATTTTACTGGGCCCAATATCTTGCCACTAGTTGGACATGGATATATATATCCCCTGTAAATAATCTATCTGCTAAATGCAGGATCAGAGAGAGAGATCTTCAGGGTCTATGTGCCCCGCACCAGGTGTTTCCCCCTCTAACAAGGGACGTAGAGGTGACGCCAGCCTCATGGCATCGGAGAAATTTAAATCCCTCCTAGACTCCACCATGGCACAGTCCATTAACAGAGCTTTAACCTCTGTGATGGGAGTCATGTCATCTTCTATCACTCAGTCTATAACAGAGGCATTGATACAGACACAGACTAGTGGCATGCAGAACACACGCAACCCGGGACCCACTAACATGGCACAACCGGGACGCAAGGCTTTGGCAAAGAGCAGACATGTGGCCTCCCCTCCAGAACTGCAGGTTCAGCCTGCATCGAAGATGTCAACGGCTGTCAAAGATGGTGCGATAGCACCGCGCACTAGAGCCCCTGGCCGGGCAAAATCAACCAGAGCTTGGAAACGGGCATGTGCCCATGGGGATTCATCCGCTTCGGACTGGAGTTTGGAGGAGGAATATGATGACTCCTATATGGACCACTACACTGCGGAATTTTCAGATTCCGGGTCTGACATTAAAACAGGCGTTGCGACCCAAAAGACTATGGCTCAGGGCGCTGAGCCTGCTGACAATGGCGACAATTTGCGGGACCCGCTGGGTAACCCGTTATTTGACCCAGATGACCTCCGTCACCCTCGCTCGGCAGCATGGGAGCCGCCTACACACATCGCGAAGTACCTCGCACTTCGGGTGCGAAAGCCTTTATCTAAAGAAGGGCGCAATAAGTTACAGGCGGAATGCCCACGACCCATCCTTCCAGACTCGGTGGAAATAATACCTGACGTGGACCCTCAGTTGGTCCAATTCTTGAACAAGTGTGGTTGGAAACCAAGGAAGGGCTTAGACTTTTCCCTCCGGAACTGCCATGACAAATTCCTTGATACTTTGGAACCCATATCTAAACTGTATGAGTTAGTAGAATCCGCCCAATCGGGCGAAAGCGAATTTGATTTCGAAGTAGCGATAAGCTGGTTGCAGAGATAAGTCTGCATGGTGGGTAACGCCAATACGGCTATGGCTACCGAACGCAAGGCGATTCTCCTGAAAATAGAGCCCAAACTGGCTAGCATGGCGACCAACGAGCCGGGCCCAGCTGCTAAAGGCATCCTTTATTAAGGATCTTGGGCTGTACGTAAAGACATTTAAAGCAATTAATAAAGCTCAGACATCTCTTAAAGGACCACTATAGTGCCAGGAAAACATACTCGTTTTCCTGGCATTATAGTGCCCTGAGGGTGCCCCCACCCTCAGGGTCCCCCTCCCGCCCGGCTCTGGAAAGGGGAAAAGGGGTTAAACTTACCTTTTTCCAGCTGGAAGCTCTCTGCCTCCTCTCTCCTCCTCCGATCGCCCCGTGCGAATAATGCTTGGCAAGAGCTGCGCATTCAGATCTATAGGAAAGCATTCATAATGCTTTCCTATGACGCTCGTGCTCTCACTGTGAAAATCACAGTGAGAAGCACGCAAGCGCCTCTAGTGGCTGTCAATGAAACAGCCACTAGAGGATTAGGGGGAAGGCTTAACCCATTCATAAACATAGCAGTTTCTCTGAAACTGCTATGTTTATGAAAAAATGGGTTAACCCTAGAAGGACCTGGCACCCAGACCACTTAATTAAGCTTAAGTGGTCTGGGTGCCTAGAGTGGTCCTTTAAGAGAGTATTCGCACCTCGGGTTTTTGGAGGGGCCGGCAGAGGATTTCAAAGCTCAAATAGAGCCGGCAGAGGCTCCTTTAATAACCAGAGACCGATACCGGAGCGACACTATACCCCATTCTTCCCATCTCGGGGACGGCCCTGGAATTCCCGCGGACCACGGGGCTCTGTTTCAGGCAGACGACCTTATGGTGAGTACCGAGTATCTCCTTTTTTCCCATGTAAAAGTGGGGGGCAGACTGGCATTGTTTCATCATGCTTGGAAAATTGTAACCCTCGAGAACTAAATATGGCCGACCAACACCAAACAATGATCTCAGCAGAGATCGCAGAGTTAGCGTCAAAAAACGCTATCCAACAAATCCCATGGGACACAGAAGGGTTCGTGAGCAACCTGTTTCTGGTCCCCAAGAAAGGGGGCGGGGTACGCCCAGTAATAAATCTCCGACCTCTAAATGCGTTTGTCCAGTATAAATTTACGGGACGCTTACCTGACAATCCCTATTGCAGAAGCGTTTCAGAACCTATTGCAGTTTCAGTGGCAGAGAACGAAATGGAGGTTTGTATGTCTGCCATTTGGCCTATCCTCTGCTCCGTGGTGCTTCACAAAAGTGCTGAAGCCAGTGATTGCCTTCCTGCGCATACGAGGGGTCAGATTAATGATTTATCTAGGCGACACCCTTCTTGTGTCCCAGTCTCAATCCCAACTACGCATTCACCTATCCTGGACGACCCACCTTCTCCAAAACTTAGGATTCTTGGTGAATTGGGAGAAATCAATTCTACAACCCTCCAGATGCATGGAATTTCTGGGTTTCAACCTCATTTCTAGGACCCTAGCAGTCTTTCAACAGAGATTGTGTCTACCCAAAGACAAAATGATTTCGATCAAGAAAG